ATAATGTAGAACATTTGACCTCATTGCAACACTGACACATACAATTAAATAACGCAATGTTATGAAAATGACTTTTTTATTTACCCCATAAATTTTGAAGTGTTTTTTAATTTACCATTTAAATTCCTCAAGGATATTATGAAATGGGTATTGGACTTGAGACACTCCTTCCCTATCGACATATCGATTGTTGCTTTAAGTAATTTAAAATATTTACTTTTTATCCGTAGAAGACAAACCGAAACAAATAAACTTGAATAGGATGGGGACAAAAAAACCGTGACAAATAATGCAGAAAAAACACAAGCCTTCAACGTTTATGACGATGATACAATGATGATGACTTCGCCTTTCAGCAGTGCTATCCTGCCCCCTCTCCAAGTGCAAATACAAGCAAAAAAGTGAAAACCAAATGTAACCAAAGATGTTGATAGCGTTGGGCATTTTGTTGTCCTTTCACTGAATAAATAACCCTCTACCAACACAAACAAACAAATCAACAACCCAACTATCGATAGGACGAACGACGACGACAATGATGATGATGACAAAATAAACGCTGATGAAGATGACAGCAACAGCAACGGTGTTAGTAAACGCTAACTGACTTGTCTGGGAAACAACACAAGTTGTGTCAGTTGTCATTTTTATTGATTCCTTACTACCACTTGTCTGTCTTTCTGTCTGTCGTCTGCCACTCGACAATACGACTATGCCAGATGTATTTGTTAAACGTTTTTGTTGCTGCTGCCGTTTTGTTTGTAATTAAAATTTGAATTTCCGTCAACAGAAACTGTTTCCTTCCGCCCAACAACACAGGACCATAAGGTAAATTTACACAAAACACACACACACATACATACATACATTGATACTTTGTCGATTATATTGTCAATGGCAAATGAAATTATTATTGATTTAGAAGGAATTATACAAGTGTATTTCAAATATTTATAAGCAAATGCATATTACTTTAGAAAGTGTAATTATTTTTGTAATTACTGTTTTATGGATTAATTATTCGCAATAAGTTTTTATGAAACATATTCAAGATTAGAAGAAAAAAATTGCAATTTTCAGGCCTCTACACAATTATTTGTGGAGTTTTGTAAATTTTCATTTGGCTCAGAAGGTCATACGGTTTATCTAAGACCAAATTGTTGATATAGCCAGGTTTGTCTGTCTTGCTGGCTTGAGACAGAATATTTGTTGCATACGCCGAGTTTAAAAAAAGATTTCCGGGCTCTTGGGTCTTTTGCGCAGCTTATCCAATTTAAAAGATCATGAGATGTTGTCTTCCACTCGATCTTTTCACCGAATTCGTGGCCTTCCCCTTCTGTCTGAACCATCAGTTGGCTCGCTCGAGGACATCATCATCCATTCTCACAACATGACCAAGTCAACGAAGTCGCTGCAGCTCGATACGTCTGACTATGTCGATGTCCGAAAATAGATGGTACAGCTCATTGTTCATTCGATGGCGATATTTACTGTCGATGCAGATCGGCCCATAGATCTTTCTGAGAAATTTTCTCTCAAATACTCCAAGATCCATACAACAGCACGGATAGTAGAGTAACTTCGGGTAATGTGGAGCATGCGTCAAATGTGGACCACCCCCCATATCTAAGAAAATGCTTGAAATATGTCAATAAATATTTTCCTTATTTGTGAAAACAAACATCAAAATTGGTTTTTAATAAATAATTGCAATGTTGAAAATGTAGTAGTAGAACATTTAGCTCTGACTGTAAAAGTGTGATTTGAATATTTTTAGTACAATAGTCGGACGTTTTTGCAAAATAGTCGAACACTTTGTTTTTCTCGAATATAATGAAGTTATGTGGTTTTTCTTGTTTTCTTTAACAAAAATATACGTTTAGCTGTAATTACAATCGGCGATTTTTAATTTTTATTCATTTTTGAAGCCGATAATTATTTCTAAATAAAACCAGTAAGGAAAGCAGTAAAGTCGGACGGGGCCGACTATATTATACCCTTCACCACTATGGGTATATTAAACAGGACTATTAACATGAAATTGGATAAAATAAAATATGTGATATTTATCTAAATGTGAATCTACCTAGATCTATCCATAAAGTATGTAAATCGACTTCAAGCAAATATAAATAGGTCATCCGTTGGGCTATGTCTGTACTTCTAGAAAACGCAACTACCTAATTCTATGCTCAATTTTGTACGTTGGGCAAAATTTGATGTCAATCTGACTAACATGAGGAGTTTGATGCCCAATTTACTTGAAATCGGGCGAAAATATATATGGAAGCTCTATCCAAATATTAAGCGAATTCAAACAAACTTGTCAGGTTAGGTTATACTAATTTCCGAACGTTTTGTTCCTATTGGTTCCATGGTGCGTCAATTACTTAAAATCAATCTATAATAAAAGGGAGCTATATCTAAATCTGGACCGATTTTCACGAAACTAGACAGACATCACTCTAGGCTCAATTCAGTACGTTATGCAAAATTTCGTGCAAATCGAAGAATATATAGGGACTTCGGTGCACCATTTACATGAAGTCGGACGAAACTATATGTGGGAGCTATATAGAAATCTGGGACGATTTTCACGAAACTTGGCAGACATCATTCTAGGCTCAATTCAGTACGTTATGCCAAATTTCGTGCAAATCGAAAGATATATAGGAACTTTGGGGCACCATTTACATGAAATCGGACGAAACTATATATGGGAGCTATATCTAAATCTGGACCGATTTTCACGAAACTTGGCAGACATTATTCTAGACCTAAATGATTAGGCTGTACCAAATTTCGTGCAAATCGAAAGATATATAGGGACCGTTTACATTAAATCGGTTAAAAATATATATGGGAGCTATATCTAAATCTGAACCGATTTTTCCCAATTTCAATAGGGTTCGTCCTTGGGCCGAATAAGTGACATATGCCAAATTTCATCCAATTCGGATCAATTTAACATGGACAGACAGACGGACGGACGGACATGCATAAATCGACTTAGAAAGTGATTCTATGCATATTCTCAAAAGGAACCATGTGTCTATCTCGTTTCCTTTTGCCTGTTACAAACATATGCACAAAGACATAATACCCTGTACCACAGTGTGGTGAAGGGTATAAATATTCAATGTCTGGTAATGTGGACCTCTATAAAAAAGTGGGACCTTTTCATGAGGACGAGTTCGAAACGTGGGTGAATTTAATATGCGATGATATATTCTATCCTCTGAAAACTCGATATGCGAAATTACAGGTGCTTCGGTTGGACAAACCGCAAACATGAACCCGTATATTTTTGCATTCATTGTTACCAAAGAGTGTAATAAATTGAAATTTATCACAACCAAACCACAACCTACCTTTAAAGCCAAGTTATTTTTATTTGCAGCTTAGAGTTTTTTGAAATATAATGCAATAACATTTTTATAGACAAATATATATAATTTTTAACCTGGAATATATTTAGCCAACAAATCTACTATGTTGTGAAAACAATTTGTTTTCAGTTTTTACCGTTGGTACGCCCACAATATCAAAAAAAAAAGAAAATGGTGGTCCACATTACCGGAAGTTACTCTATAAGCATCTTGTACAGTGTGAGTTGAGTCTGTCGAGAGGTGGCTTTGCCTTTGAATTGCTTACTCAGACCATAGTAGCATCTGTTGGCCAACACTATTCTTCTCCTAGGTATATAAAAATCTTTCACTACCTCGATGTTGTAATTTTTAAGTTGGTCGTGTCAACTGTACGTCTTGCGCGATGGTACCATCAGCTTGGTCTTCTTGACATTTACTGCCAGTCCAACATTAAATACTCGTTCGGTATTGAAGAGCTCCGATAGGTCCTTTCGGACTTTAACTGCTGACCGTGTGCCAGAATGTGTCGATGTGTTTTTCGTGGGTCTTTTCACTCTGAGCCGATTGGGCTCTCGAATGTCGGCTTTATCGTCGATGAATAGATGGAATGTGTCGATGTGTATTTCGTGAATCTTTCCCAGGATTTAGCGCAGTGTGAAAATCTGGTCTATGGTGGATTCACCAGATCTGAAGCCGCATTGGTATGGTTCATTGACCATTGGCTTCATATATAATCATTGCTATACCATCATCTCTTATTGGGTATTTGGGCTATCTTCTTCACCGTTACTATTTGATACCAGAAGCTTTGCAAAATGCTCCTTCCAGATCCTCAACACGCTGTCCGTATCTGTCACCAGGTTTCCTACTTCATCTCTACGGGATGATGTGTCTGCATCAAAGCCGTCGGTTTGGTGTTTTACTCGCTAGTAAAATTTCCGGACTTCATTCTGACTCCTGTATATCTCGATTTGCTCTCGCTCTCGTTTTTCTTGTCCTTTCTTTTGAAAATACGTTTCTCCTCTCTCCTGCTAATCGCTTCAGATTTATATATTGTTTCGTTCATATTAAAATAGTGCATCCGATTGAGATGAAACTTTGGACAGCACGCTGTACTACACCATATAGCTCCCATAATTAATATTGCTCAATTTTATGCAAACAAAGACCCACGTCAATGGTCTTCCAAAGTGGTGAAGGCTATCCGTCTAATTCCTTCCGATGATACCCACCTCACTTGTTGGTATTGAATATGAGAAAAAGCGGTCCATGTTTTATCCCCCTTATTTTCCAATCGAAGTGGCTATAATTTGTCAATCCTAGTTCTTGGTGTTTTGATATAGTCCCCAAGACTGTAAGGGCACCTCCCCATCTTTGGTGTTTTGATTATTTCCAATAGTAGCTCTTTTCAACCTAAGTCGTAGAAGTTTAGCATTCCAGGGGTTTGGAAAATTTTTCAGAAACAATTCAATATATGTCCATTTATAATTGAAATTTGCGCTGGCTCAACCCATTTTTGTTATTTCCAATGTTTTATGCATACTGTCTGTCCGAGATGTAAATGGAAAAACGGAAATTCTTATTTCTGTTTCCAATTCCCACATTTTCTGTTTACTTGTAAAATATTTAATAACAAAAACTCTTCTTCTTACCTGACAACATGCTTGTGACGTTCAACCCAATATTTGATGGCACTGCGTACCATCATTTCCTGTTTCTTTGTCAGGCCATTGGGATTGGCGCCGTTTATGCCATTAAAGGTCTGCAGAGTTGACGGAGCACGAAACTGGGCACCCCAATCGGCCTTTGTACTGTATATGCCCGACATATCCAAATCATTGACAGGTTCTTTTTCTGCAAAGACAAATCAAAGGACAACAGCATAAAATAGGACAACAAATGGTGCGCTTGCCACTAGCCGCCTTACTAACCTTCATTTTGAATTAATTCAGATTTCGAATTAGCCGACAACGAACGAAACAATGCTGCCGAATTAGGTCGATAGGTATCCAACGATGCTGACAACTCCATCAATGGTTTCATTATGCCCTTCAGATGCTGCAGCTGTTCACAGGCGAATATCAACCAGGAACAGAAAAGGACATCGCACAAATTCGAATGGACCATAGAGAAGAGCAAGTAGTAGGCCTGATAGCCAAAGGATATCATATAGAACATGCCACTACTTGCATCCCAGGGATAGAATGACTTAATGGGCAGCCGTGGAATGGGTACGGTAATGGTAGAGTTGGTTTCCTTATCAGTGGCGAACTTGACACTCTCGCCAAAGAAGGTAATGGTAATCCATGCTATAAAGGAATCGAAGAAGAAGAAGAAAATTAATTAATGACCACTCAGTCTATTAACTGGGAATCTTACCAACGGCCGAGGCCACAGTCGTCAACATTACCAAGAAGAACAACTTTCGCATTTTAGCCAAAGCAATTGAATGATAGCGAGCATCCGACTCCGCAAACAGAGGGTGGGAGTTTGGCTGATTCCAAATGTTAAGTGTTCTAGAAATTCACCCACCAACCAGTCGACCAACAACGACAGCGGGGCAATATTAAAAGTGGCAGCCATGCAAAGCGAACATCAGCATCGACACCAGGACGGAATGTGTAATTAAAAATAAATTGTTCGATTAATTGATGCATCTTGGACAGAGGAGGACACACAGAGAAACTGTCAATGGACGGCACAATACATTTAATATACGCTTGATGGAAATCTCCATCTCCTTGGGCATAAACAAGTTCTTCGGGGCACAACAGTCACCCATCAGATGGTAAGAGATGCTTGGCTCCCAGCCTCTGGCGGCACACACACACTCACTTACCTGTAAAAGTTCTTTTGATTCACTGCCAGATAAACGAATTTCGTAATGCAATGCGTAAAGAATAGTGCCGTAATTGTATTGCCGGACAATTCATTAACCTCGTCGGCATTCAGGGCCATGTTGACAAGGATGAAGATGAACTGCAGCACTATCAGCACCAAGTGTATGGATGAGTAGACATTTTTCAGCAATGCAGAGCCTCCGGTGAATGCATGCATAAACAAGCCCGAATATTTCATCAACTTGATGTTGGGCATCAGATCGGCCACAAGGCCGGTATACTTCGTTGGCTGCAGATTGGCTTGCATCTGTTGGAGGTTAAGGATAGAGAAAAGGGGACAATTAATGTAAATTGTTGAGAACAAGATATTAAGTCGTGTAGATGGATATCATCATAACATCGATATTTGAATTTAAATGTAATCAAAGGACTGTCCGTACCGAGCCTACACCAAGTGTTCGCAAAAACTAAAATATTTTTATCGTTAGTGTTCCGGTACACCAACAAACAAAAGTGTTACTGTTTCGGATACAACGAATATGTTGTGTTCCACATATTCGTACACTACAAACGTTGGATACCGCTGGCGAAACTTGTAGTGCTATACAGCTGTAAATGAAAAATTTCTTCTTTCATATCTGGTTGAAAAAACCAAAATTTTTTTTAGACCTAAATACTAAAATTAATCTAGAAGGAATAGCATTTACAAATATTTAATGTATAATATCACTTTTTTACTAAAATTAGTACTAAAAATCAGCAAGGACCAAAGCCAGACGAGGCCAACTATATGATACCCAAACCATCTTTCTTGAAAATTCGACCTAAAAGTGTACGAAAAGTACTAAACATTACTAAATTTAGATCTAATTTTATATATTGAACATATATAGCTAGAATCTTAAAATTTTATATGGAATAAAGGTTGGGAAGTGGTATTGATGTATGGAAATGTTTTCGAAATTAGTACATATTTATATAAAAAGTACAAAATGGTACTAAATTTAGTACTATTTGCGTTTAAATGAGTGTATAGAGATGGAAGCCTGAAAATCGGAATTAGGACTACCATTGTAGTACAGGATTGAGGTAGCTTTAAAAAATCGTACTTATGTGTACGAATAGTACTAAATTGTACTAAATTTGGTGCAAGTTGGATTTAGGTGAATATACAGAGCTGGAGTTTTTAAATTGGGAATTAAATTGACTGTTGTATTGAGGTAGTATAGGAAATTCGTACTTATTGGTATGAAAAGTATTATGGTACCAAATTTAGTACAATTTGGATTTTGTTTGAAAGGACCTGAAATTTGGAATTAAGATTACTGTTTAAAATTGAGCTGTAGAGACCACATTGGTGAACAGTGAGAGTTGGAAACCTAAAATTTGGAATAATGGCTGCTTTTGGAATATAGAATTGTGATATGGAAACATAATACTTATGTGTACTAAATGGTACTATATTTGGTACAACTTGATTATGTGTGAACGGATAGACCTGGACTCCAGAATTTTAGAATTAAAATTAATGTTGGAGTGTAGGATTGACGTAGTTTAGAAAATTCTTAATTATAGAAACAAAAAGTACTAAATGGTACCAAATAGTTTACAAATTGTTTTTGCGTGGACGGATAGGGATGAGATGCTGAAATTTTTAATTAATATTGCAGTTGGAGTGCAGGATTGAGATATGTCGGAATTTTTGAAAATTCGTCCTTATATGTACTAAATGGTACTTAATTTGGTACAATTTAGATTTAAGAGAACGGATAGAGATTGAAAACTTACATTTGAAATGAAAATTAAAGAATTAAGGTTGTATTGGAATTTCGTACTTATGGATACGAGAAGTACTAAATGGTACAAATTGTTTTGTGTGAGCGGAAACCTAAAATTTGGAATTAAAATTACAGTTGGAGTGTAGGTTGAGACATGGAGGTAGTTTTGAAAATCCATAATTATGTGTACTAAATGGTACTATGTCTAGTACAATTTAGATTACAGTGAAGGATAGAAATGGAAAACTTATAATTGAAACTAAAATTACTGTTATATACAGTGTTGGAAATTCGAACTCATAAGTACGGAAAGTACTAAATGGTACCAAATATGTGGAATTGAGTAAGTTTTAGAAACTCGTACTTATGTCTACGAAAAGTTGGTGAACGGATAAAACTGGTCTGAGGTAGTTTTGGAAATTCGTACTTATGGTTAGATTGATATAGGTTTGGAATATAAATACGAAAAGTACAGAATGGTACCAAATCTGGTACAATTTGGCTTTAGGTAAATAGACAGATCTGAAATTTTTAAATTTGGACACACAATAAAGGCAGGTTTGGAATGTGGGTACGAAAAGTACTGAATTGTACCAAATCTGGTAGTAAGAACAAATTTAAAAAATCCACCTCTGAATGTTCATTATAAATACAGAGCTGGATTTTTAAATTTGTACTTACGATTACCATTTAAAATCAGGATTGAGGTACTTTGGAAATTTGAACTTATGAGTAGAAAAAATACTAAATTTTGAACTTTTCTTGAATTAAGATTATTGTTAGGGTGTAGGATTGATGTAGTTTTAGAAATTCTTATATATGAGTATGAAAATTAGTAAATGGTAAAAAATTTGGAATAATTTGGATTTGGTTGAATCATGAGATTTGGAATTTATATGACTCTTGAAGTGTAGTATTGAGCTATGAAAACAACTTTGGAAACTCGAATTTATAGAATAAAAAATGCACTAAATTTGGATTTTGGAGAGAGCTGGAAACCTAAAATTTGGAATGTGGGTCGATGACGGAGAGTTTGAAGGAAGTACTAAAGGGTTTTTGGTACTAAATTTTATGATGGTGGTACGGAGGTAGTCTTGAAAATATGTACTTATGTGTTCGAAAAGTACTAAATGGAACTAAATGTGGAACCTGTTAGAAAATATATATTTGGAATTGTGATGTATTCTAAATCTGTGTACTGGAAATAGGAAAGAGATTTCGGAAAATAGTGTTTATGTGTATGAAGAGTACTAAATGGTAACAAACATGTTATTATATGTAGGAATAAAAGTGGAATTCAGAACTATTGTACAGCAAAATATACAGTATTCACGACTTCCACATGAAATATTATTTTCTTTTCTTTTTCTCTTTCCGCATACGAAGTAGCGGGCACTTTGCTAGTATGTATATAAAAGGTTACGTTATTAGTGACTGACTGATCATCAACGCCCAACGAAACGGCTAAAGCTAGAAACTTAACATTTTGTTTTTGAAAAATCGTATTAAAAAGTACTAACAACATTATTACGCGGGAACCGAAATTTGGTATGCAGCTTTGCCTACATAAGAGGTGCTAAATATTATATCTGAATGGTAGAGTTAGATATCTGAAACTTGGTATGTAGCTTAAGCTATTACAAATTAGTACTAAAATTGTACAGAAAAGTACTAAAAACTGCATTTCGCCGCATCGGTTGGAAGTAGAACTCTTAAATTTGGTATGCAGCATTCTCAATGATAAGTGAAGGGGAATGTGTGAAAAAAATTTGGGAAATTAGTAGCACCTTCGGCACTTTTTTTAGAGCTCTATATCTAAGTACTTATTCAACATATATAACAACTTTATGGCTGATTATTGTCCCTTGACACTTAATTATAAAAAATAGAACCAAATAGACATAAAAAATAGTATTAGTTTAAAAATTTTACAGTTTTTTAAAAAAAGTCAAATTCGCCGAATGTGCCCAACCCGGGGTAGCTTCGGCATTTGATGGGGCACAGTCGGCACCATAGTCATAGCCGGGTAATTGTCATCGCTATCAGTCGGGTTGAAATTCTGATCCTCTAAAGGCTCTATATGGTTTTAATACGCCACACAATGTTTGAATTATAGGAATTTATTTTCTAGCGGCGGTCGTTTACATCTCAAGTTCGCACACACCATCAGAAATAGGGGTTTTCTATCGCATTTTCTTCAAGCACGTTTGATCTTATATATGCAATTTCGAGCCATATTAAAGGATTAGTTTTAAAGACAAACTCAAAAATATTTTAAGGAAATAATATTGCACAATCTGTATATGGCCGAATGTGCCCCACTTTAAAATGCCGAATGTACCCCGAATGTACTTTTTATAGTTTTTTTCATTTTTTTCGATCAGATTTGTAAAAACATTATATTTTAAATATTTTTATAATAATACACATCGTAGTTAACCACATTTTAATAATATTGTCTTAAAAATTTTAAAAGTTTTATCACGAAATACTTACGAAATGGAATTGAAATATTACAGAAACATCTATAAAAATACAAAAATCTATGTATCTAAATAAGCTTATTAGCTAGAAATTTCAAACTTTGTGTCAGTTATTTATTTCGATATTCGATACCAATGTATCGAAACTAGTGATGTACGGTGAGAGCTTCATATCGAAAACGCGATTGCCGAAGGTGCCCCAGTCTCCCCTACTAAAAGTACCAAAGTACTTACAAATATGAAAGTACTTACGGCGGAAAGGGTATATACAGATATCTGAAATTTTGTATTTATCTTAAACTATAAAAAATAAAATTTTTATGCAAATATGTTTGGAAAATTTGTACATAAAATTTATTGATGATTTTGTGAATTGTGAAAGAACTTCCGATGTAGTGAAAAACGGGAGGGACTTCATAGACAAATAAGTGAAACTATGCAAACAAGCTGTAAAATTCCTATCACAACAGTACTGTCATTTATTTACAACCCCTATACTACCGCGACTTCCGATGTACTGAATAATGAGGATTTTTAACACGCAACGCACCAGAAATACTAAATTTCTCCAACTTTTAATCGAAATCTTCTTTATATAAGCAGAACTCTATTAAAGCCAATATGTCGATGTAATTATAATTAATGATGTACTGGGCAAGTATTATTTCACAATTTCGTACTATAGTAATAAAACCAACTACTGTGGCGGATACAATATTATGTTTATTATTATCATATTGAATTTCTTTATTTTATATTTAAATGAGATCACTTTAAGTACATCATTCAACTCAGACTTATTTGGGATGGAATTTCTCATACAACATTATTTTATAATGAGTATTATTTTGTAATGAGTATTTATAATTTATTTTGTTGAGACTGATCACATTTTGTATTGAGTGATAATTATCTCTTGTGCTCTCGCATAACATTTTATTTTAATAATATATTGTAATATATCTACTCTCTTTTGTACCGTTTGAGTGATTGTTTCCATTCCACTTGTCAGTGATATTGTTTTTGTGATTGTTTTGTTTTAACTT